CAAAAGAGAGCTAGAAAGCAAGAAGCGGAACCAGCTACAGCAGACAAAGTCCTAAGCTGGTGGTTGGAGAGGGTGGAGGTGAACAGTCAGCATAAAAGCGCTTTGGTCTGTAATTGACATGGCAAAAGGGGAGCCTGTGCTACCATACCAGAAGCTCCCCACGTACTCCCTCTTCCCTGTCACTGTATCCACAAAGCTCCCTATGGAATAAATCCTGTCTGTGTCTTCAGGTAAGTTGTTGATGGCATGTGTGGGAGTGATGGCTTGTGCATGTTGGTGGTGGTGAATGCCCGCATGCTAGATACACGAACTGCACTCTGTGCTGGGCAGAGCACGTTAACGTTGTGTGAAACCACAGGCACTGGATAAAACTAAACTTTCTATTTAAAATTATTTTTAAAAGCTAGTTCACAGCCTTTGCCTTCTCTCCCAACTGTGCAAAGTGCTGGTTTTGGTAGATAAAAGCAAAGAGCAAGATGGAAACTCCGTTGGCTCATACAGGAGGTATGAAAGGAATGCTGTCTCCTTTTTGTGTCAAATCCCAGACATATTTTTATTCCTCTTACTTGGCTTCTTGCCTATGTTAAATTGCTGAATTCTGCTTCATTAAAATAATTGCTAATTGCATTTTACACTTTAGTTTAGTAGCTGCTCAGCAAAGGCTCAGCCATCAAAGATGTTGACTATCTCCTGTGACCTACAGGTTAAACTTCACTTCCCTATGCCTCAGTGATGGTCCACATGTGCTGAGGTCTGGTCCTCTGCCTGACATGCAGCCAAGCAGTAGGATGCACCATGTACTTAGAAATCAGATTCTGGGGGCAGTTTCGTAAGGTTTTTTAACAGTTACCTTAGGTTACTCAAAATTCAGATTTTACACTGCCTCTAAAACCTGAGGCTCCTATCATGCCAGTGCTCAGGGGTAAAAAATAATCATTCATTCAGCTGCATAAAGAGAACTGGACATTACCTTTACCAAGACATAGTGAAGCTGCATGTGATCCTTGCCTAAAAGCTGTGTTACAGCTCAGCTGCTTGCAGGGAATGAGAGAAAAGAAAGCCTTCTTGCATCCAACAAGACACACAGCATATGCCCCACAACATATGCCCTACTGCTTGTGCTATGCTGCTTGAGTGACAACAGTCTGGGGTTTTAATTGTTGTAACCCTAATTAGTAATGACAAATATTTTGCAGCTGGGGGGCTGGGGGTTTCTTTATAAGCTTTAGACCCCATGTACTCCTTACATCCACTCTTATCTCGCCTTAAGTTATTCAGCATATGCATACGACAGAGTAAAAGAAGCACTATTGTGTGCTGAGCTTGAAATCATATGCTTTCCAAATCCCCTGCCAACACAGCTTAGATGAAATTTCTCCTGGAAATAGGGCAGGAGTTGTTGACATTTTCCTTCAGTGGGGAAAGGAGGGGTAGAAATGTGTAGGCAGTCACTAGTTTCATGCTAAACAAAGATGTGTGGGAGGAAAAAATCATGTATTTTGGTTGAACCTTTCTAAAGAAACTAGGTGTTCTTAGTGCCAAACTTTCACACTGTAATAATCTGAAACTTCCTCACTCCATCAGAATTCCCCCTAAGGGAATCCCAGCCAAGTGTCAGATGAGACCAAACATGGCTTCTCAGGTCTGAACTTGTTTGGCATGTATTGTACCCAACTATGAACTGATTTAGCCATGGCAAGCAGGAGCAGGGGGCTTGGACAGACAGGCTGGGGTCCTGGGGAGGGTGCTGGCTTTTGGGGGTAAGCTGCCACACCATCCCAAAGGAGCTACCACGTGTGCTATGCTTTGGCTTTTATCAGTCAGCTAGCACAAACCTCTTGTGTCTCCTGCTGGACTTTGTGCCCAAGAAGCCCTAGAGGGCTAAACCTGAAACAGAGATGCCACTGACCAGCTGCTCAACTGATGTGAATCAGCAGCAGTTCTGTGGAGGCAACTGAGTCATGTTGATTTACCTCGGCAAGTGGATCCTGGAACCCTTGCAGCATTTCCACCTGTACCACAATGTTTTGTTCTCTTGTTGTTCTTTTTAGTAACAGGAAACAGATACCAGTTTTTCCTAATGGAATGGGTTTTTCTCCTGATCCTGTGATTCTATGATCCTCTTTAATGAGGATATCTAAAATGAGATAATCCCAAACTGAGTGTCTGCATCCCTCTCACCTCTAGCCTGCAGATATTCGTATTGCTCAGACCCACACTGTGAGGCTGATGCTTGTCTCTGCATTGGGTGGAAACAAAATCCCCTACATCAGTGTGCCTATTTGGTAGCAAAGCTGAATCTTACACTTATTTACAGTCCAGCAATCTCACTTGTAGCCAAAAATTTCACAGCCTTAATCCCTGCATGTGATTCCAGGGATCCTTTTGCCATCTGTCATATCACAGAGGTGGACACAACAGCCAAGCAGACAGCATCACTGCCTGCTTCTCACTGTCTTGAAACAGAGCTTCTCACACCCATCTGTGCACACGAAACTGTTTTGCACCTCACGTTTTCCTGGTGCAGTTATCCTCCCAGACAGCCAGGCTCCGTGCTTGGGACTCATCCCACCCTGCAGGCAGGAACTTTGCTGCAGAGCCAGCCATCAGATCTGTGTTCCCGGGCTTACACCTTTCCCTCAGGATGGGGGAGCTGCAGATGGAGCCCTCCACCTTTGCCCATGACTGGAAGCAGCTTCCCACTGGGAAACCTGTGAGCGAGGTTTTGCTCTGCACAAACCACAGCCATCAGCTCTGGCCACCTTCCCCAAGGCAGCCTTTTTTCCAGCTGTCCCCTCCCCTCAGCCCAGCCCAGCACCAGCATTACCCTGTTCTGCTTTGAACACGTGCATGCTGAAACTGGGGCTGCTTGTGGAACAGCGTTTACTCCTCACCCCGGTTGGACCCTGATGAGGGAGCTGGCATACCCCCAAGCCGCCTGCCGGTGAGGAGATAACAAGAGGAACAGCCTGCCACAGATTAGTTAGAGTCTGCCTGAACAGTCATTATACACACCCAAAGCTTGCTTGGTTTTTTTGTTCCCAAGGATGTATCCAAATATAGGTGGAAACGAACATCTTTTTTTCTAAAACCAGCCATGTTATTCTTGCAAAAACAAAGAAAAATAACATCCACATCTTTCCCTTCTTTTTTCATATAAGTGGGATTCAGGAATTGATAATTCCTTATCATTCTTTCTCTGGTATTACTCAACAGCAGCAAAATGACAGCCACAGTTGCAGCCCCCCAAGCACTGCCATGCTGCCCCACAGACTTGGCTACCTCTGGGGCAGCACTGGGCCAAGTTTCCCAGAACTGCATATAAAAATAATAATAGTGAAGGATTAGATTTATAGTGAAAGCAAGCACGTATGCCTTAAATGGCAGCAGTGCTGTCATGTCTGCGTAGCTCCGGGAGGCAGCTGGTCCTTCATGAGCCGTGCCCTTGGTGTGAGCTCTGTTGTAGTCATGGAGCAGCCACGGAGCTGCAACTGTTGCTCTCTGGTCCTGGGCAGGAGTCTGAATGATAGTCTTTCCAGCAGCCAACTTCTGATGTACAGAAAGTCGCCAGATCAGGTTATGTGTCTTTGTTCAGCTGAGCAAATTATGTGACAAAAGATGCACATCTGGGTAACGAAATGAGGCTTCTGTAGGGAACTGTTACATCCTGCTGGAACAGCCCTAAATGGGAAGAGATTAGAAATCAGAGAGTGTGGGGTTTCTTTTTTTCTTAGAATGTTAACTTATTAAATAAGGCTTATTTCAAATAACCTGGTAAATTTAACCTTTCAAATTTTCTTGCGTTTTGCACGTACTCGTTTCTACTGTATCATCTGTTTTCGTTGCTCTTTTTGTGGCTCTTTCTTTCAAACAGCAATTATTAAGACTTTCTATTGCAAAAAAAAGCTTGGCTAAATATAGTAACACAGAGGAGCTTGTTTAAGAGCTCTTAGGTATTCCACAGCTCTCTGGTATTCCCTGGATGTTTATTTCAACCAAGACTTCTTTTTCTTTTAAGAAAACAAAGTCTTCTTTCAAGAGGAAAGCTCACTAAAGGAACCTAGCAACTGGTGCAGTACTTGAATCAATTTTTCACTGTTACATCAGTAATTGCAAAGCCATCAGTATCCCCTGTGGGGATATACCCTTCCTATAGTCTGCAAATGGAGAAAACCAGCTGTAGGTCCTGCCTTGCTCCCAAAAGCAGGAGCTGCATGGCCTAACCCAGTGAAGGGATCCAGACATGAAGGTCCTTGTTCCTGCCAGTCAGTGAGAAAGCCTGTGTGGATGCCAGCAGTATGCAAGCAAGGCTGCCATGGCCATGAACCTGAGGTGGTAGCTTGGAGGAAAGCTTGAGGAAGACAGGGAGGCCAGGCAGGAATGGACAAGCAGTGACCAAGGACACATGAAAACAAGGAGAGGGCAAAGTGGGGTGGTGACAGGACAGGCACAGGCTGAGCTTTTTCTCCAACAGATGTATTTCTGATGAATGCTGTGCAGGTGATACTGATTCACAAACTGTGCAAGGGACATCCCAGCTTTCACAGCAGTGTGACTTTGCAGCACTTCTGGACCTGGAGCAGTGCTCTGCATGGAAGCTGTGGCCTGGCACTGGCAGGACATCACTGGGCACGATGAATAGCAGTGAGCGTAGGACAGGACTTTGCTTTTACCAGTTCCCAGGTAACTGGAGACAGTGTGGCAGGAAACAGCATCCCAGGAAACAGCTTTCAGCTATAGCCATATGGACATCACTAGCCACATGGACATCACTAGCCACAAGCCCTCCTTGCCAAACTACCTGCCTGGGGCAAAATCACAAGCACCCAAAATGCTGGGGGTCTTCTCATCCCCCATCACCTGCCTCTCTGTTGGCAGGGCCAGAATGGGCAGCCCTGGGGGAAGGCACCTGCCTGTTATTCGCAGTCAAACTATCCACAGCATCACTCACACCTCCCGGTCTCTTCTGTGTCTGTCTGTCTGTCTGTCCCTCCCTCCAGGGAAAGTCTCTGGCAAGCAAGCGCCTCACGGGCCTGATGCAGTCCTCCTGACGGCTTCAGCCTACCACCCCATGGGAAGGACACTTGGGACCGCTGCTGGGGATGGGGCATACCAGGGAGAACGGGTCCCTGCAGGGGAAAGAGCCTGAGCGAACACAAGCAGAGCCACGTGCCAGGGGAGCGCCTCTCGTCACAGTTTGTATCAACACTTTCCTGTCTGCACAGCTTTGTAAGGACACTGAGCTCTGTGCAGGTACTTTGTTTCTGACCAGGGTTTGGAGGAGCACACTTCACTGTATGCAGAAGGTCAACAAGGCAGGGGCTTGCTGTCTTGTTATTTAAGGGAATAGACCCAACCACAACTTAAAGAAAGAGGAGCTGAGAGAGACAGGTACTTTTCCCTCATCTCTTCTCTCCATTGCACAAACATGGCTGCAATAGATGGTGCCGCAATCTCACTTGCTCCCTTTCTTGTGGCCGTCTGGATCCAATAAAATATCTGCTGGAAGCTGCTTTTCCTTCTCACAAAATCTCACATGAATTTCTCCTGCAGATTCATTGACTTTAACTTTTTCTTTCTTATATCTCTCCTCCTTTAAAGCAATGGAAAAGAAAAAGGCACATTCAAGTTCATCACTCACTGTCCTTCCAATAGCATGTAGCATGCCCAGAGATGATGGCCAGATCCTCAGCTGAAGTCAAGAGAGCACAAGTGGTTTTCATCACCTGAGGATCTGCCCCATTGAGTCAGACTGATCCTGGTGCAAATCCCCTGACGTCGGTGGAATTGCTCTGCATGTGCGCGTAGTACAAATGTGGTCAGACTCTGCCTGATGCTCAAAAAATCATGTTTTCAATGTGTAATGTGCACACACACACACATGCATAGTATTTAAAAGTGAGTTGGTTTATACTGTATTTGATTTTTTATTTATTTAATGTTTTACATACTTAAAGATGGATGTTCAAGCTTTACTCCGAGTAGATAAAATTAGACTCCAACTCCAATCACAGAGGGCCAAAATCTGCTCACGTGTGTACAGGGAAAGGCAACTCTGATGTGGGCAGGTGTTAAAATTCACTCTGCAGTGAGGAGGGAATTGGTGGAAATGGCACCAGCAGAAGAGGGTGGGAACAGGCAGGGCGCTGGGTGCCAGGTAGCCCTTCCTAAAAAGCATCACAATCAGCTGTGGTATAATGTTCAGGTAACTGAGTCCCCCGAGAAGCACCTTTGTAAGAGTGCACTTGTACCACTGGAGGAAATGAACTTCCGCTAAAACTCCTCTGACCTACAGCCCATGAACAGAACTGCAAGTGATGACCCAGTAGCTTGTTTCAAACTGTTGGGAGTATGGAGGGTAGAATGAGAACAGATGTGAAGTGACTTTAAAAAAAAGTATGTATCCTAGCTGCAGATAGGAAAATGGACTGTATTTACATGCAGTGTATTGCCTATATATGAACATTTCAAGACTCAGCTGACTTAATGCCACAAAACCTCCTGTAATTTGCAAGCAGTTCAGATCTGAAGCTCATGTGAAAATAGACATTTCTTGGTTGACATTTCACTCATGCCAAGGCAAATTGGCTTTTTGTGCAGGTGGTAGAAATTGCTATATGGCTACAAGTCTGCATTCCTACCTAGGCAAAACCATCTAGCTAAGTAGACAGCTGGCTATCGGCAGTATTAACTTCTGAAGCAAGTATTAATCTAATATCTTAGGCCTATATATGCACAAAATCAGGCCAGCATACTTTGTCAGAAGAAGGACCTTCCTTCTTTACCCATAATATTTCTTGTTTGATACCTGTTTTGTTTTTTTCCCCCAGAAAATTCCTATTATCGATTTTACCTAAGGTCCATAGGACCCTCTTACACCTGCATGAATGTACAGTAGAATACTGAGTATTGTATTTGTTCTTTACATACTCCTGTTCCCATGAACACTCTGCTTTCTGAGGTCTTTAGACCAAATTCATCCTACACACACATGACACACAGTGAGTTCCAGGACTGCAGCACCATCATGGATGTACCTGTACATTTGTGTGGTGTCCTGCCTCCCTCCAAACTGTCACTTTGCAGGACACATTTGTCCTCTGTTGGCCACCCTTGGGTAATAGCACATCAGTGCATAACAGGTTCATTCATGCACATTCATACGTCTCCCTGTACATTGTCCCTAGGAAAAGGCAAAGGCTGGCTCTTCTCAGAGTCTTGTTGATGTTATCTGTGTTGAACCCACCATTGCCATGTGTCACTGGAGCTCTGTAAACCAACAACTGCTCACACCACAAGCTACTCTACCGCCGGTGCTGCCCAGCCTCTAGGCTGAGGCATTTCCCATGGGAGGTCTGTCCTACAAACCCTGAAACTGGTCTGCAGGGCATTCCTGAGATGGGGGGGGGGGGGGGGGGGTATACATAAAGCAAGAACTCTGGTGTGGAGCAACTAGCAGAGACAGCAAAGTTACCAGGGAGTCTTTTCTTTGCAGTGAGTTCCTGACATTGGACAAGTCTCTGAGGGAAAGATATGGGGTAGCTCCATGGAGTTACTCCTCGGTGTCCTGCAGCATGGGGCACACGTGGAAAGGGCTGGAGGATGATGCAGGTGCATGGGATAGGTGGAATTTGGGTTATGGTCTGTGCGGGGAACAGCAAAACGTCAGACTAACTTGGCGCTGTGCCGCTGCCCCATGAGCAAAGCACCCTGCTTTGTCTTTCCTGCTCCGTTCCTGCAGGATGGTCATGTTGGCTGCTGCAGTGTTTTGCCTGTTGGGAATATGCTGTGTTCGAACTGTTGAGTGCATGGAGGGAATTCTTACTGACAGAGAGCATGCATATGTGCGTACATCAGGGGGCCTGGATGCTGAACAGCTTGCCATTTAAATGCACACTTGTGCAAGCTAATCTGCTCAGTAATGGCTAGCTGAGAGGACAGATATGCATATTCTCTGGAGAGAAGAAAGCTCTGCTCCTCAATTCTCTAAAACAAAGGTGAGAGTAGACAAGACCTCCTCCTGGGAACAGGAATGAACTGCTTTTCACATGTCCTTTACTTCACATATGCTGATATCAACATGTAACTATTACACTTGAACTGCATCCTTGAACAATTGCTTTGTAATGACATTGTTTTTTCCAAGTGATGCTACTCTTGTACACCCACCAGTATCCCACTGAGTGTTGCAAGCAGTAATCTGCTGCTTTATAAGAGTTCCATGTCTTCCAACTACCTCATTGTCCTGAAGATGAGTTAGGAAATCAGCTTTCCACTTCTATGTTCTAAATGGCATTGTTTCAGGGAAAGGCAGTCTGGAAAGCTTTTACAATGTCCATGCTGTGCAAGCTAGCTACAAAGCTTCTGATACTTACAGGGCTATGGCTGTGAAATATGGCTGTACACTGTTATTTAGATAATAGAGTATCCAGAGCATTCGTGGCTATTGTGGTGAAACAGCACCAGGACACACACTAGTAAGGTTCAACGAGCCTGCGCAGACAGCATTAGGCTAAAGCAAATGGATTAATGTACTCTCAGTATAACTCAGCGCTAAGATCCCATAGAGTACTGTAATAAAATGGTAGCAGGGCAGCCATAAAAAGTGGCAGTAAGCTGACATAATAATACCAGGATAAATGTAGCAATAAGGTAATACAGGCCACTGCAGTAAAGTAGCATTTTGATAGTGCAGCAATAAGACACAACAGGACGCTGCAGTAAATTAGTTTGGGGAATAAGGCAGTAATAATGGTGTGTGAGGACAAACGGTGGTACATTTGTACCAGGTACTGCAGCAATAAAGATAACAGAAGGTGTCCTAGTAATAAGTTACTACAGTAACAACAACACGGTGCACTGTAAACTTATGTTGGGATGCTTCCATGCTGCAGTCAAATCCTACAAGATGTGGTAGTGAGACAATGAAGACAAAATATGCCCCATTTCAGACTGCAAAACATGAGGCAGTTTTCTGCACGGAAACCCAAATTCTGTAATGACCTCAGCAATACCAATCCTATCCTTTCAAGGAAGCTGAGGCAAGAGTGTTCTCCCATCCACTCTGTTGTTTTGATATGAAAATGCAAAGTTGACTCATTGTCTCTTCAGCCAAATTGTCACAGACTGTGGGGAAGTTCTTTTAATAGTCCTTACTCAGGTGAAATCCTGGTGGGTCCTTTGCCTTGGAAAGGATTTGGCTCTCTCATCTTCTGGCATGGGTGATGCTTTTAGCCTACAGTTATTTCTGGTTTTGGGGGGGGAAGGGGAACCCAGGTACAGAACATCTGACTGTACTGGCCTGTTTCCTGAAATGCACAAATAAACTGAGCATCCTGGAAAAGTGAAAGCAATAAGGACCAAATCTGTTCTGTCTGTCATGCATGCATGTGCGCATGAATAATCCTGCTGGAATCGGTGTGAGTCCTGGATGCATCTATGGGCAGGGCTTGGCTTAACCCATTCTCAGTGTCTCCAGCTGAGTGACAGAAGCATTGTGTCTTCTCAGGTTTTATTTTTTGTATGATCTCTTTTCCTGCTTTTCCATTTATTTATTTATTGTTAATTCAACCTCACCTCTGTATGAAATTTCCTTTGGAAAAATCAGTTTATCGTAAGACAATATGCAGCAAGGTGGGCAGAGAACACTTATGTCCTATTCTTTATACCCTTCAGTGGAGGGTAAAGCATTCTGGAAAATAACCAGCAACCACCGTTACACTCAATAATCATCAGGCATAAGGGTTTAGTCAAAGCATCTATGTCAATAGCAAGGCTTGAATGGAGTGTGTGTGCTAGATAACAAGATGGTCTCCTGGGAAAAGGATGTAAATAGGGCACCACTGCAGACTCCTGACTAGCAGGAGCAGCTCACAGCTGGCTCTGGCTCCTCCAACCAGTCCCAACAGATAGGAATTTTCTGCCGCATCTTTCTGACCTTTCACACAACAGCTTTGCTACCCCTTTATGTGGCTTTCTCTGTCTCTAGCTAACTGTGCTCAGTTCAAGTTTTGAGCAGTGCCCTGGTATGCCTTGGCTTGACTTTCACCTTCTACTTCTTGGCTTGCTTTTATGGTGATTTAATGATTAAGCAGGATTATTAAAGTAGAGCTCACAGTAGGGTAAGACAGGGTAGGTTATCATGATTTTGTCATTTAAGCTGTGAGCAATTTTTCAGCTTCTCAGCAGTGTTTATAGCCTGAGACAGAGAATGAGCAAGGCAGCTGCTCAGCAGAACAGTGAGCTGGTGAACAATACGCTATCTTCATGCCCATATGTACTTTGAACTTACTGGTGAGGAGAAATGCTTTGTAGTGAGAAAAGTAATCTCAGGGCAGGAGAGAGTCAGACCTGATCAACTTTTTCATGTGATACAGATTTTGCTTTGCCAGCCCCTAGCATCTGCAAAGCTCACAGTTAAGAGCCAGCAACCTTCTAATCCTGCTGCTAAGCATTTGGAAACATGCTTCTCAAAGGCTGTCTTTACACAGCAATGCTGTTACTTGAAGCCTTTTACTGTGAATTGATGGCTTTCACCACAAGTATGGTTGCCCTCTCGAATTTGCAATAGGGAACTGCAGATTCCTCACAGAGGGTGGATGATAGCGGGCAGAATTTAGGGAGCAATTTGCAGGCTTGGGGCTCAAATGAGTTGCATGTGAGCGAGTCTAATGCTGTTTGAGATGGTCAAAAGTGCACAGGTCATTCACACAGTATTGGCAGCAATGACCAGAACATTCCTGTCTGGGGATCCAGAAAACAGCCTGAAACATCTCGTGTGGCAGAGGACAACTTTCTGTGGGCAACTATACAACAACAGAATGAGCTACCTTGGAAAAGACCAAGCATTACCCCAGGACTGCCAACACCATCACTAAACCATGTCACTAAAGGCATTGTCTGCACGGTGTTTGAACAC